TCCTATCAACCTGCTTCCCTGCTCCTCTGGTGCCACCGCACAATTTTCATTTGGACCGATGTAGCATAACGTAATGACGTCATCACAAGCAGATAACATTATGGAGCAAAAGACAGGAGTCTGAGCTCTCTGTTGCAGAATCAAGACTGAATGCTCTCGCTGTTAGAGACTTGTTTTAGGTAGATTTTAAACAGAATCATGTAAACAACGATCTCCTGCAGCCATGACAGGAGAACACTGAGGCGTCACCTCATGTTTTGCTGTCTTTTGGACTGTTGTAACATAATTTAATGATGTCATCGCATGTGGACAACATAATGGCACAAAAGTGTTAGCCAGTGGCGTACGGTAGGTAGGACGGGCCCCAGTGCCAGATTTTGCATCAAAACAGCTACTGTATATTTTATAGTATCGTCACATGATCAAATACAGACTTGACGTTGGAAAACATCAACATATGTATTACCAATCATCACTGCAAATATGTATATGACACAAATACCAAATGAAAGAGGAGATTATTAATTAAATGCATTATTAAAATAGTTTATTTATAGTTTATGTAAAATGAACATATAATTCTGTTTTGGATTTCTACTGACTATTTCACAAAAGAAAAAAATAAACATTGATGGAGACGAGTTTGTCATCTTGAGGGCAGATACAGTGGGTGACAAATTTGTAGTTTAACTTCGTCTTTGATCACAGGTGTGTCTCTGAGGAGGCAAGTTGAATCACCTGTAAGGGCCCGTTCCCTGCTCTAAGGAGAGCGGGCCCTCCAACTAGGCCTGTCACAATAACAGATTTTGCTGGGTGATTAATTGCGTCAGAAATTATTGCGATCAGCAATAATATTGCGTAATATTGTGCTTTGAAGACCATTTTTATTATTGTTGTAATTTTGCTGTTTTTAGACCATTTTTAAACTTATATAATGATAATAAAGGCATATTGATGCATGTACACCCTTTAAAGAGAAATAAACATTTATTTAACAAGAATATTTAGGAATGCAAAAAGAAAATTGAAATATCCAAAATAACACGTAAAAATATCGAAATAAATAAATAAATACAAGAAAACAGACTGTCAGTCTCTCACTCTCAGGTGTGCAGTTTAGTTGGTCGTATTTGCTCTTTTTGTTGAGATGGTTTTAGAACAAACCCGGCACAATTACTGGGCTCCCCTCTGTCATTTGGTTTAAATCCAAAACACTCCCACACAGGGGCCGTGCCATTTGGTACCTCCGTTCATTACGCCAATGAACCAACTCCTGGCTGCCAGACGATGCATGGCAGGGAACGCTCTTGTCGTCCAGTCTCTTTGGTGGAGAGAGACGAGGAAAACAAACATGCGTGAATATGGCAATTAATCGCGGCTGGAAAAGTTACTGTCTCCCTTTAAATTTACCGTGCAATTAACCGACTTATCGCATATCGCGACAAGCCTACCTCCAACCACTCTCTCCACGGGACCCCGCACCCCATAGGCCCAGGTGCAACCACACTGCCTGCACTGTCTATATTTACGCCCCTGGTCTTAGCTCTCTGTTGCAAAAGAATGAACACTCTAGGTCTTTTTACTTTAGATCGATTTTAAACGGGATCACAAAAACAACAACCCCTCACGGCTGAGTGCGAGAGGTTTGTTTTCAGAGGGTCAAACATTCTCAGTTAGACAGATAACCAAAGTCATTAGGGTTTATCCTCTGAGGGCCACGAACTGTCTGCACTGGATATCATGTCAATCCATCCAGTTATTGTCAAGATATTTTACTTTGGGCTGACACGCTGCACCAATGAACAGACATGACAATCACTTCAGCCGAAGCACTAATAGTTCTATATATATTTTATAAATCTATATTCAATTTCTGTTGAAATTGGGGACAAAGGTTTTGTGAGTAATGTACAGGCTTAACATGTCCTCATGAACATAGCAGTACACGTTTGTGCGTGTATGTGACTGCTGAGGCTGCCACGGTCCCGTCATGACCAACGATGTCATGTAAAAGAGTCGTTCCGTCTGTAAAACAAACCAGTTTGTGGCCAAAGGTCTCTAATTTGCAATCAGCACGATCTCATTTAACTGCGTCTCTGTGAAAGACGAGCTCCTAATTCAATTCATTTCAATTTAGATTCCAAAGATTAAAACTTCTTCTTCATGTTGATGATTTTTTTTTTTTTCCTCCATAATTGTGTAAGAAAAAAGAAATGTCAAAGTTTGTTTTTCCCCCTGCAGGGTAAAGTTACTCTGTCAAATCCACAGAAAAACAGTTTGAATGGAAAAGATATAAACAGGCTGACTGAGCAGAAAACTGGAGGAGATGTAAACAAAAACAAATTAGTGACAGAGGGAGAAAGAAAAAGGGGATGGATAGAGGAGAAGCAGAGGAGGGAGGAGGGGAAGAGGAGGACACAGAGTGGAGGAAAAGAAAAAGAAGGCGGCCTGTATTTTTTTAATATGTTAACACACACACACACACACACACACTGTCCCGTGTTCTTCAATGACATGAACGTCACATCACAGTTTGTCAAAAACATTTTAACCAACTGAAATCACAAAAAACTTTGAGGGGACTTCACCAAACAGCCGGATTTTGAGCGTCGTCTTCAGGATGTTTCGTTTTTTTGCTGCGACAGGGACACTGCCCGCCCGACCTGCTGAGCTACTGGACGCCCCAAGGATGTAACTTTAAGACTGTTATACAAATAATTAAAAAGGAAATATATTTCCAACTAGTGAGACAAATAAAGTGAGTTACATAAAATGTTTTCCCCAACAGCTAAATGTAACAGGAAACATTATTCATGCATAAGTTTAAGAGGCTGTAAAACATCTGATTGTTTCGTCAGAGATCAACTGAACCTGACAAGAATTAAATCATAAATCAAATTAAAACAATTTTATGACTCCAAGATATCTGATATTTGTAAAAATCAAATTTCAGGAATACTTTTTACCCTCTGCCAGAAAAGTAAACCATTTATTCAAAATGAGTCATTTGATTTTGCAACATAGCCTGAAAATTGTGGATCCAAACAAGAACCAAGCGGACTCCTGAGTTCAAACATGAACAACGCCAAACTGGAGTCATGAGGTTTTCATAAATCAGCGGAAATATGTTGACAATAAAATCCTGAATAAAAGACAGAGGTTCAAAAAATGTGTGTATTTTTGTTTGCAGGAAAAGAAGAAGTTTTGATGGAAAACTTTTCTTTAAAAAAAACGGGCTGGGGCTAAACGCTGGTGTTGGTTGAAGAAGTGGAACACGGAGTGAGGGGCGGCGGATCGACACCCAGCCGCAGAATGCCGACATCTTAGCAAACAAAAGAGCTCTTCCAGTCTTGTTTTGACTGGCTCGGTTTGTCAGGTAAATAAATCAGACAGCAGCAAGTTTGTTGAAAAAAACTGCGTTCACTGCGTTGTTTTTGTGGCGGGCCAAAAGCTCTGTCCACGTCTAAGAGTTTAAATATTGTCAGTAACAAAATTGGAGCGAAATAAAAAAAAAAACCTGCAGATTTTTTCCCTGCAGACGGAGCGGTTGCAGAGCCGTGAGGTTTGTTTGGATGTCACATTTACATCTGAATCATTAAGCTGATGATTTTATCAGCGTTATCACGAGGCAGCTGAACAAACCTGAACCTGTCACCTTCTCATCAGAGGATGACCTCACTGTTCAGCTAGTGTAAATATTTCACTTTCTGGCTCAAGGAGACGTCAGCGAGACACACTATACAACAGCTTTGGTAGAGACATACAACCAGGTCCGCCGTCAGGGGAGTCAAAGAGTGCAGATGACCCCAGCCTGAGGCCACGGGGGGCCACGAAAAGGTCTATGGTTGACCCTTAAAGGGGATCAAGTACTACAAGTTACCTGCTGACTGAAATCCCTGACAACACAGGTTATGTATATTGAGGCAGATGCGCAATGAGTCAGAATGTGTCACCAAAAATCAGGAGCTCCTTAAAAACCTCTTGCACTCCACCCTCATTTTGTAGCAAAAACGCCTAAAATGACATACCTAAATTAAAAATGACTGTAGCGTCTGAACCGTACTGACTACATGCATGCATGAGGTCTTGCCAGAAAGAAAACTCCCTGAAGTTTCTTGTGAAAGTGTCAGAAACACTCTAGGTGATACAGAGACAGAGTAATGGGCCTCTGAAGACAGTAAAAAATTGAGGATTTTGCCTAAAATAAAATAAAAAATGTTTTTCAGGATGAATAACTGTCTGTGGCTTCATCTGAGCAGGTAAATGACACTGTGGGGCTGTAGGCACACTATCAATGAACACTTGTTTCAAATTTGAAGAAGACTGCTCAAAGTATGACCATTCTACAGTGTTTTTTCCATGAAAAGATCCAGGCGGAGCTCCACATGACAAGAGCGGCCACTCGGCTTCAAAACAGTACTATCAGTGATCAAACACTCAGCCAGCTTCAAACATTGCACCTTATTGAAAACAGGGGGGGAGGACATCGGCGTCCTGGCGGAGTTAGAGAGGTTAAATAAATGGTGTATTTAGATATTTCTGCATACTGAGGTCCATAAACCGTCTTGAAATGACATAAAATAGGTATAACTGTAAAACGAGAGAGTGGACAGCCATGTATGCTTCACGCGTGAGGACATGTTAATACCTTGCAGTAATTTCTTTTACTTTTCTCTAATCGTTCACTGGAGGGCATTTTTTCAGCCCGCAACAAATGTGACTACCTCTGCTTTTCAAAATAAGAGAATAAGCCGCCCCCTCCAGGGTGTGGATGACGGGCCACTTTGGAACATGTTGTCCCCCTGCCCATATTTCCTAACTGCTGGCTTGCGTACAACAGTAAATGTCTTGTTGCTGTTTAGTTAAATCAAGGGTTATCTCTTGAGCTGCCATTTTGAAAGTGATGTTCATCAAACGTAAGAGGAGAAAACAAGACAGAGGAGGCTCAAAGACAAAGATAAAGGTTAATAAAGTTAGAAAGGTGAGTGCTGTTCTCTCACAGTTTTCATCCTGAGCGATGCACTGCAGCGGGATGCCGAAGAAGGAAGTGTAGGAGTCATTGTACCACACCAGCAGCTCTGTTCCTCTGGGGATGTCCATACACGCTCTGTAGAAGATACAGGACCTGCGATGAAAACACAAACACGTTTGATTTAAAAAAATGCCACACAAAGTTTACAGTTGTTGTTAGCTTATGGAAACTGTGACACGTCAAAGTGCAGCATCCTGAAAATACCTGAAGAGAAAATCAAATATCCTGTCGTTAGTGTGAAGATGCAGAGCAGGAGGGATGCAGGTCCAGTTCAGAGTCTGGATGTGTTCAATTGCTCCTTTTACCTTCACTTTACATTCAAAGAGCCCGAGTATGTCTATCTACAATGCCCCTGAACTGTTACCAAGCCTTGAGGTGGGACATTAGCAAAACAATTTTCCCTGAATGTCAATTTCATCTCAACGTTTGATCATCAACTTTCCACATCAAAATATGACGCGCAAGGTACACTGCAACTTCAGCCTGTTACACGCATTGTCTGTTTTCAAAATACACTTCTGTTTTCACAGGAAATGTACAATTTGCATACAGTCTCTTTCAAAATAAAAGCACTACTTTGGCACCACACAAAAAAGAACAGAGTCTGGCTTTGGTCTTCTGGGAAGAGAACACCAGCCTCCTGGGTGAAAGTCAGTGATTGTTGGATCTATCCATCACCCCTCCCACCTGTCCTACTTGGACTTCTGCCTCCTTAACTATCGTTGTTGTTCCACTAAGTTTCCCCCTGACACCGCTGGGCACCATTAAACAATAACTGCGACCAGCTGCGTGTCATGTCAATGTAAAAGGAGGGCTTTATTCGTCTGTGTCTGACACTGGAAGTCACTGACCAAGCACTGGATTTTGAAGACTTCAGACTGATACCAGGTTGAAACAACTGGTGATGAAAGGCTTCAAGTAGCCGTAGCTTTGTTTTGATGGGTCACAAGGTTAAATGCTTTCTAGAAACACTTTCTCTTCAAGCAGCTGTGAGGTTTTATTATTATTATCTTTTTAAGTTTGACACATTGAAGTCCAGCAGCACCAACTGCAGCATCTTTAAAACTCAATTTTGATCATTTTCCCGTCTACAAAATGACATTTTGACCTGCTGCTCATGTCTGTCAGAACATGTTCAGATTCACTTGACTAAAGTGTCAAACAAACAGGCCGTGTGACATCATCATCACCTTCAACTGTGCCTCTGACGGGGCAAAAACAAACTGCTGACCAACAGAGCTGCAGACGGGACGGTGTGACGTGTCAGTGACTCTGTCCAGGTCTGATTTTGGAAACGTTTCCCATCTAATAACAGCAAGATTTCACATCTGGCCAAACCCAAATGATTTATGGGAAATATCTGGTGTCTCTCACTCTGTTCGAAGCAGCTAATGACCATGATGTTGTTAAAACACGCAGCCAGTGAGCTGACTGGTTCCTGGGTCACAGCTCCGCTAAAACAACACCTCGTCCACCCAAAAACATCATTCTAACAACATGAGCAAACGCCACGTTCAAAACCACATTTTCATATCCAGCCCAAACTATTTTAAAACTATTTCCCACAGGTTTTTTCTCTCCCAGCGGGGTGGCAGGGTGTCAGACGGACCAGATCGTTACTGAGAGGTCACAGGTTCAACTCTCACACGACTCCCTGGTTTTCCTGCCAAAGTGCCTTCGAGCCAGAAGACTAATTACTCTTTGCAAACAGCTTGAGACAACCACTTAAAGTGAAAAGAAATGATACTAAATCCAAACCACAACTGCTCTTTAATGTCCAGATAATTCAAAGCACGTTGAGTTTCCTCATGTGAGAAACGCTCAACTAATGAAGTTTGACTCGACTTCACTAAAACGCCTCTTGATGCAATCAAAAGCCCCATTTAACGTTCAGACTGTTAAAACATGTTCGAAACCAGAGTTAAACATTGAACACTGAATCCAAACCTTCTCTGTGAAGACATGCACAAACATAATTAACCATACTGGTGTTTTTACCTAAAACTCATGTTGATTAAACATTCCCGCTGACCATTTTCTAAATCAGCCAATTATTTCTAGATTGATTTCCCTCCTTCAGGGCAGACGCTGGCTCCGTTTGATTTCTGAGAAAGTGTCGGCAGATAGAGAATCCATCACGGTCACAATTTAGACAACTTTATTTTCTCTGTCAAAGTGACTCTCAGGGGAAGAGGGGGAGTGAAAACAGTGAGAGGGAGAATATGAGGAGGATAAATAACTAAAGGAGGAAAGAAAAATAGACACAAAATAAAAGAAGACAAAATGTAAAGTCAGAGAGAGGGGGGGGGGAGGGGGAGGGGAAATGTCAGCTGTATGACATAATGCTTATTTAATAAAGAAGAAAATACATCAAGCTAAAATACTGAGAGGGCCCAAAAGAAAAGAAACAGTCTGAAAGAGAGACAAAGAAATTAAAAGAGGAAAACAGAAGCAAGCTGGAGAAATAAAGCACACATACTGTATATACACTACACATGCACTACAGGAGCAGGATATTTAACAGCAGCACAACAACAGAAAAACCTTTCAGCCCATTTTATTTCAAGTCTCGCTGTTCGAGAGGGTTCAGTCATCTTGATGTATAGAAAGTTGGTGACTTGCATCACCCAGAAAGACGAGGACAGCCAAACCAATACCACATTTGTTGCCTGGTGGTGTTGCGACATGAAAAAAAAAGTCATATATACATACATATATATGTATATATAAATTTAAAAAATCGTTTTAATCTGGCTTTTTAACAAAGAGTAGCATTTCAGTCAATTTTATTCTCACTGTTTATTTTAATTAAATTTTATTTTGTTAGTTTCTTTTTATTCTAAGAATTTGTAATCATCTGTTGTTGTTTGTTTTTTCTGTTTTGTCTGGTAGTTTTTTTTAAATATTTTATTGTCTTACTGTCGTAATTTTCTACTCTTGCAAAACTTTATGTGTAGTTGTTTGTGTAATCCTTTAAATTGTGTCTGTGTCATTCCAGTTTTGTCAAATGAAGCACTTTGAGCTGCATGTTTTGTATAAAACGTGCTATTTAAATAAAGTTGAGTTAATGCAGCTTTAAAAACAGGAAAAGGCGACACTTCTGATATTATATCCAAGATCTAAAATCTAGTCTAATATCAAGATAGATATAATATCAATAAATTGCTCAGTCCTATATTACAATAGTACACTGTAAACCCCAATTCATCCATGACACAAATTTTAATGTAAAGCCTATACAAATGTCCGATTGTCAAAATGACACAAAGACTTTGTTCACTTGACACAAAAACTCCTCACTTGAGAGCTTGAGATAATGTTTTATTTAATTTGACTGAAATCTATAAAGCCAGTTTAGTTTAATCAGTTTAAATACCAGTATCAAAAAATGGTGTTTAAAATGTGTGCTCAATGTTTTCATGTTCATATGACAAGAGTTAAATGCTCAAACAACAAAAAAATTATGTTAAACTGACACAAAACTCTCGTCAGACAAGGGTCATGTTACACATTTATTTCTGTGTCTGGTGAATTCAAAATATTTATTTTATAGTTACTGTATTGTACTATCCTAAAGGTTTTGAGTGTAAGCTGTTTCCAAAAACTTTTATGTTGAGTGAGTGAACTGTTTTTTTATGCTGCAGTCCTTTACTTTTACGCTACGCGCACATTTCTAAACATTTTGCCTTTTAAAAGAGACACTGGTCGTCGACAACAAGATGAAATCAGAGCATGTATGAAAACAGATGCTGTCTGACACTGGATTCATCTGTCCTAAAGTTTAACAGCAAACCTGCAACAAACAAAGTTGCAGTGTATAAAATCCACGGCAAACATGGTGTGAAGCCATTTTACATTTCAGCACAAAAAGTACAATTTCAGCAACGTTTGATGAGAATCCATTTTCACAGTTTTGGCAACAGCAGTTGTGTATGAAAAGTATACTGGCACAGATTTAAAAAAAACTCACTGTGGATGCATGTATTTCCTCTGTTAGTGTGAGTGAGTCAAAGTTCTGATACAGATCAGAAATGTTGGAGAGAGCAGTTCGTTCAGCCAGACAGGTCCAACTGAGCCTGCTGAAGATGTGTGTGTGTGTGTGTGTGTGTGTGTGTGTGTGTGTGTGTTTTATTAATTCTTTCCACACCGGGGGAGGGGTGGGGTGGTGTTGGATTCATGTGAAAACACAGCCAGGAGGGACCAGGCTATAAATCAAACATACCCAGTGACCTCCCAGGATAAAAAGAGGGAGCGAGGGGTCTACAAACATGCAGCGGCTTGTATGTATTTAAAACAAATGTATGTGTTTAATACATACACGCTGCTACATCCAGGCGGGGCTGCGTTATAAATCAAACACATCCAACAGGCTCTCAGGTATGAAAAATAAAGACCCCCGCCGCCTTACAGCAGCGTGGTTGAGCTTAAAATTGTTCGTCTGGCAGATCAGTGGGACGCAGTATCGTCCGCTCTCTGATCTTTCCTCTGTTCTGTTTTCATACAAAGCAAAAATAGCTTTATGATCAGCGTTCAAATAATAACACACATACGAGCAGTGTGAGGGTATAAATCAAACAACCCAAATACCTTACAAGGTGTAATAATGTGTCTGCATGCGTATAAACATGTTTATCTAAAACATTCATGCTGACAGAGGGTCCACAATTTCAGTGTGGTCTGGCCCAACTCAGCGGCCATTTTCTGGGGTTTGCAGAGTCGACAACCAAAATGACTTTTCAGGCAGTTAGATAATCATCTAACAAGTCAGAGCTGCAACAGCCAGTGATTTGAAACTTTCATCAAAGCCAGTTAACCGAAGAAGGAAAACATCAGTGGAGAAAGTGTGCTTCAGGTCAACCAGTCCATTTTTCAGTCTTTCAACTGATCTTTGAACTTTTTCTTCAAATTAGCATTTCGGGCATATTCAGAAGTGTTGGATAAGAGGCCCACAGAAGTGATCAGGCCCAGAAAATCAAGCCCAACCCTACATGAACTTTCAAAGTTTCTGTCCAAGACTCTCCCGAGCCAGAACCACAGCAGCAGTTTTGGACCTGAGCCCGATCACAGACATGAATTTCTACTGTAAAAAAAGT